TGGTTTTATTGGTATTTTTGTATCAACTGCATAAGCCGTCCTGAGCCAGCTCACGGGGAGAGTGGGGTACAAATCGAATGAATAAATAAATGCGGCTTTGCAACTGCTTGTTAGTTTCAGAAAAAAGTCTGGTCAATTTCAACAGTGAGTTTCCCCCCTTTGCTTGCACTCCTTTCCGTTCCCTTTCAACAAACTAATGCTGAAATACATGCACAAAACCTGAACCATGAGGATTTGAATGGAAGGTGCTCGCTGGATGCTACCACACAGCTGCAATAGGGCAATTGTGTAGATTAAAAACAACAACAAGGAGACTGCAACCAAGAAATCAGGAGGCTGGGAGGGGCAGCCATGAAGAAGCTAGCAAAGCCTGCATTGTCGGGTGGAAACTGCCAGTTTGGTGTAGTGGTTAAGTGTGTGAACTCTAATCTGGGAGAACCGGGTTTGATTCCCCACTCCTCCACTTGCAGCTGCTGGTGTGACCTTGGGCAAGCCATAGTTCTGTCAGAGCTCTTCTTGAAAAAGAGCAGTTTCTGTCAAGAGTTCTCTCAGCCCCACCTACCTCACAGGGTGTCTGTTGTGGGGAGGGGAAGGGAAAGGAGTTTGTGAGCCGCTCTGAGACACCTTTAGGTAGTGAAGGGTGGGGTATAAATCCAATCTCTTCTTCTTCTTCAGTTGAAGCTTTTCTTGGCATCACTTGGTGATGTTTGAAGGGCTGTCATGTAGAAGATGGAGCAAATCTATTCTCTCTTGCTCCGGATTGCAAGACTAGATCGAATGGGTGGAAATTACAAGGGAGTCGATACCAGCTAAACATCAGGAGGAACTTCCTAACTGTAAGAGTGGTTGAGCAGTGGAACAGACTGCCTCGAGAGGTGGTGGATGCTCCTTCGCTGGACGCTTTCAGCTGGACGACCATCTCTCGGGTATGTTGTAGGGCTCTCTTTCTGCTCTGCTCCTGCAGAGTGCAGGGGGTTGGACTAGATGACCTGTAAGGTCCCTTCCAACTCTTAACATTCAATGATTCGTTGATTCTATGTTAGTGAGGGGTGTGATGGTTCGAATCCCACCTCTGCCATGGAAGCTCACAGGGGGAGCCTGGCCCAGTCGTGCTGAGCCTACCTTGCAGGGTTATTGTGAGGATAAAGTAGAGGAGAGAAGAATAATGTTAGCTGCTTAGGGTCTCCATTTGGAAGAAAGGCGGGGCATAAATGAAGTGAGATGTAGCAAAGAATAATAAATAATTCCTGTGGGACATTCAAACTAATGTTAAAGGGGCAGCTAGATGGACCAGTTAGCGTCCACAGTCTCCCGGCTCTATCATACTCAGATTTTAGGAAGTAATCTCTTTAGACAGGCCCCAAGTACACAGAGCCAGTGTGGTGTAGTGGTTAAGTGAGCGGCCTCTGGGGGGGGGCTGTGGGGGCT